ATATATACCGTTACCGTGAAGGGGTTCAATTTATACCGTGATATGAATTTGAGGTCATACCGCCCAGCCCTACAATATTCCATAAAAAATCTTGATCACTGATGAGACATTTTAAAAGTTTTAGCACGAATGGCACTTCCAATTGGAGTTTTAGGTTTTTGTGTAGATTTTAGAAAGCTTTATTTTATTTAACTCATGATAGATGAAATAAATTAGTTGCTCAGTTTTGTCTTCTGTTTCCTGTGTGTTTGTTTGGTATTAGAAGCTGTCTGTCACCTCCTCTAATGGAAACTCTCCACTTTTAATCAACACGACGGAGTGTAACGGCAGTGTGAACACAGCCTGCARCACACCGGAGGAGCCGGAGGAGCTGGACACCAGGGTAACACAGTCAAACTCAATATTTATGGAAAAGAAAACATAAAGACATAAAACTTAAAGAGTTGAACTTTTTGAACAGATTCGGGATATTTAAGTTAAGTCTCTCTCTGACTAATCTGGAGCAGATCTCGGGACATCTGTGGTTTTCTCAGGAATGATCAGAACAAAAAAAACACCAGTTGTTTGAGTAAATTTAAAAGGGACAGGACCACAATGTAAGATTAAATTCWGTCTTGTCAAAGCCTTAAACAAAGAGCTTACTCAGCGGTTAGCACTTTGAGTGTGTGCTAAAAATGATTACCTCATTTTAGCTAAATGCTTGTAAAAACAATTTGTGGCCCGTATTGTGAGACGATGGGTCAGTTTCCTGCCACGCAGCTACGTTTTATGTGACCGTGGCCTGTTTCATGTCTGCAACATAGGGCTATGTGATAATTCAATGATATAAATCATGATAAACACGTGTTCAATATCAGTAGGAAACACATCMAATATAATATTAATCATTTCACTAGTAAGTTTGTCCATCGTGATGATTATTTCATCAGAAAGTTGAACTTTCTGATGAAATAAGCRAGGACATTTCAGCTAAACAACACCGGAAAAGCTAAGATTCACCTTCAAAATAAAAGCTGTTAATAGACAACAAATGCCTATTAAAAGAAATCACTTGCACTTTATTTAGAAATGAGTAAACCAGGGTTTTTTTTCCCCCTCTTGTCCGCACATACGAGCAATTGAGCTTGCTGGACCAGTCCATCATCGTAGGGTTAATATGATTTTATTTATTAATTTAGGATGCTGTTACACTGAAACGAGGCATCTAAAAGCTGAAGAGGGTGTCAATACAACACCCCAACAGCTAAAAGCCTGCAGCTAAACAAGGTAAGCTAGCAAAAACCCTGTGGAGTAACGTGCCGTAGCAGCTTCGTGTTTCTCCACCGTGCCTCAMAACGGCTTCAAAATAAAAAGAACGCTGTGGAGTGAAAGGAGAAAATTATGCAACAGCTCGAGAGGAAATTGTGGATAAAAGAGGAAAGGTCATGTCAACACTTTGTCAGGATTTCAGATATTTTAAGTTTGACAAGAGTCAGACCAATTAATAATTATCGATATCGATCAATATGAAATGCTTATATCGTGATAAGTTTTTCACCCATATCACTCAGCCCTAGTACAACGTGTAAAACCTGTTTTCTAGGCTGCACGCATTATTTTATTTCCGACCATCTCAACTTGCTTTGGACGAACCGTGGCACCTTTAAATCATTACCCTTTATCAATAATGAGTGTTTACCTGGGATGTTTTCTGCCATGAAAAAGAGCACCTGTGCAGGTATCAAATAGTCTGAGGTGAGTTTCCAGGAGAAAATGTATCACAGAAACATATAAGCCTTTAGGACTTGTCAATGTCTGAGACATTTTGAGACTTCCCCTCTTCAACGTTGTAAAGCCAGCATGTATGTTCTGTTCTGGATGTTCTGTTGTTTGTTTGTCCGCAGGTGGTGAATCCGTCCTTCCCGAACCCTCGGAGAAGGCTGCGGCTGCGCGATCTGGCCGAGAGGGTGATCGATGCTCAGGAGAATGAGCAGGAGCTCAACAAGCTGCTGAACGAGGCTCTGCTGGAAAGAGAAACCGTTCAGGCGTAAGTCAAGGTTCTGCTACGATCCGGTCCGTTTTTTAACAGTAAAACTAAATGCTTTCAGTGAAAAACCGTGTTGTCTTGGAAGCTACTGTAAAACTAAAAGAAAACAATCTGTTAAAATCAGTTTCAAAAGACTGAACATGTAATAAATGTTTGAACAATATTCTCCACAGTCTGAAAGGGAAACGGACCAACAAGCTGTCCCTGAGGTTTGTGGATCCAGACATGGAGACCCTGTTCTCCAAAGAGAAGGAGAAACAGAGCGGAGCTGCGTTCTGCTGCTCCTGTGTGGTTCTGCTCTTCACCGCAGTGATGGAAGCTCTCATAGATCCACGGTCAATTCACAACCATTTACTCATMTTATAGTAATATTTCAGTACTTAAAATAAATACCTTTGATCCTAGTTCACCAACACCATTATGTGTTTTCATATTTCATCTTCACATTGATATCAATGCCAAATATTTATCAGTAAAGACTGTATTGTGTTATTCTAGTATTTATGTATAAATCTATCAATCAAAACTTTATTTAAATTGCACTTTACACATCCCATGGCAATCAAAGTCCTGCACAGCAAAATAAAAACACAGTAAGAGAAAATCATGTAAGCGATAACACACACACACAAAATAAAAATATAACAAAGAAAAACAAAGGCAATCGACTGGTCTACTGCATGTACTCTCTGGAGTTAAAAGCCAAGCCACAAAGATGAGTCTTTAAGAGAGATTTAAATTCATTAAGAGATCTGAACCTCACAAAAAGTGTGAATAATAAAGACTGTATTGTGTTTGCTTTGGAACAGGCTGATTGCAAACTACATCACTTTTGCGGTCGGAGAGGTTCTGCTGCTCATCCTGACCATCTGCTCTATGGCTGCCATCTTTCCCAGAGTGAGTCATAAACACAGCTTTACTTTGGTTACAGTTTGTTTGTGGAGCATTAACTCCAGGTAGAAACCCTAAAACAGAGAAAACTCAGAATCTTGAATGACATTTGATAAACTTTAGTTTTCTTGTAATTAAAAGCTCAACTCTAACAGTCTGATTCCCTTAAAACTGGGTAATAGTTACATTAATTAAATAAAATCTCTAAACAGAAACAGACCTGAGWTTGTTCTTCTGTACTTCAAACTGTGCTATTAAACAGACCATGTTTTCTGCTCTGTCGTTGTTGGCCCACGTTTAAAGGAAGTTTTATATTTGTATGTTTTTGATCATTCTACTTCCTCAGGGCTCATTCCACTAAAAACGACTCGTCTGAACATGTCTAACATTATCTTGATGAGGAGTGATGTTCTGTTTTTCTGATGTTGAACCTAAACTCAGTGTTTGATACAGTTCACATTTCTCACCAAATCTTCTTATCATGACTCTTCTTCTGCTTTTCATGCCCACGGTGTCCCACAAGGCTTTGAATTTGATCTCTTATTGTTTTTGTTATAAGTGTCACATCTGCGGTACATTACTTTTTAAAACCTCTTATTATTGCTATACAGATGATATCAAGTTATATACTTTAAACTACAGACTTTACAAAGGGCTCTGACTCTTTTTAAGGGTTGGTTATCTGAAAACTTTCTCCAACTTAATGAAGAGAAAACTGATGTCTGAGAGAGTGGAAACTCTTTTTTACCTCGTGGAGTCTTTAGTRGCAGATCTCAGTGTAAACTGAACCAACCATGAAATGTCTGAAGATCTGCTTGTAACTGACTATTAATAGATTCAATACTGAAATCAGACAAAAAAAAAGAACAGTATCATCAGCATACGTTAAAATATTTGGATTCTCTCTAAGGTTAACCAGTAGGGGGAACAGATTTTTACAGTGGAACTGAATTTCGCACATCACCGACATTCTTCTCCTCCCGACCGCAGACGGTTTAAAATTCACTTTTTACGTTGTCGTTCTGTGAGCTTTCTGCATTTTTCATCTTTGTGTATGATAATCAGTGTTATCATATGTTGTCATAGGTTTGGGCAGAATCGTTCATCAGGTAAACTTTTGCTGGTTATTATTTGACACCGCCTGGTGATGTAAGACATGTGTGGTACCAACAGCCTCAGCAAATTTTAGGTTCTGTCAAAAACTCATTCATCTTCATTATACGAGTCATGTCTGACATATTTGTGAACAAATTGTTGTTATACTGTATATCTTGAAATAGGACCTAAATCCGTACAATYTAAACTCTCTACTGTAGTTTCCTCCATAGACATTTTACCCCCTGCCCTCCAGTGTAGATCGCTCCGCCTTCGAAACCACGTGACTGAAACCCAGCTATTAAACATTCGTACAATATCCAAAGCACAATCACACTTCAACAAGTCATCACCTACATGCTCTCAAAATCAAAAACTCCACTCACATAAGTTTAAATTARGAGAACAGGTTTGAGTTAAGAGAAGCCATTGTTTTGTCATGTATGAAAATAGTTCTGTTGGCAAAGTTTTCCACTGTTGTGTGGCAACACTTGAGAAAGCTGATTTACTAAAAGAAGTTTTACATTTTGAAACACTACACTCACCACGAATAGTTGAACGGGTGACTCGAGATGTTTTTCCAGAGCTAAGGGATAAAAAATTTTTTTAAGGGAGGTGCAGCTGAAACATGAAAGCAGATATGTATTTGTGTATTTGATTAAGTTCTCAAAACTAAGAATGTTATACTTGGCAAGAATATGGCAATGATGAAACTACTGTGTTTTCTTGGATGGATGGATGGATGGATGGATGGATGGATGGATGGATGGATGGATGGATGGATGGATGGATGGATGGATGGATGGATGAAAGACAGGCATATTTATGTCATCAGGCAGTCCATCAGACTGTAACTGTCCTCAGGGGTTTTCATTTCTGTCAATATTACATCAGATATTGTCCTGAGCCATCAGTGCTGTTACTGTAAACATCCATTAGCAGCAGGACTTATCAGTTGAGTTGTTGCCTTTCAAAGCAGTAAAAGTACAGTATAGAGTACCGTTAATACAGGATAATAGAGTAAAGAGTACTGTTAATACTAGGGATGTACCAAAAAATCAATTCACATCAGAATCCTGATTCTCATTTGCAAAGATTCAGAAGTGATTTAAAGTGTCCCAAAATCAATTAAAAAAAGCAAATCCATTGGCTGTCAGCCTCCATTTTGTAACTACTGTACGTGGGATGCCCTGACATTATATAAAACACAGGATCAAAGTTCTTTTTTTAACTCATCCTTCCTATGTGTGTGTGTATTCGAAACTGCAAGCGTAGCGCACGATGTTGCAAAGGACCCTGGACATTCGTTCCCCCATGTTTGTCATGTGTGTGTGTGTTTCTCCGGACAGATGTTCTAAACTGCGATTTTGTTCTGCATTGCATCTTTGATTTTGTGTGTGAATGACAATAAAATGATTCTGATTCTGATCACCTTGCAGCCGGTTCTGGAACAAATGCATGTGCCAAAAGCACCAAAACAAAGAGGAAACTACAAAACTGGAGGAAAGAGAGATTCATCTGGCCCAGTCTTCATTGAATTTAAAGATTTGGGCTCARTTTGGTTTTTARTGAATGATTTTGAGTTAGGCATGAGCTTTACTGTGTGCAAGGTTTGCAAAATGCAGATGATGCACTTTGYGAACATGACAAATGGGTTCACATTATCAGTTTTACATGAAAAATCGATTTTGAATCSAATCGTGGCCCCAAAAAATCAGAATCGAATCGTGAGAAAAGATTCCCACCCCTAGTTAATTCAGGTTAGTACAGTAATGAGTACCTTTAATACATGTGTCTCAGCTAGTACAGTATTTTCACACAAACTAAACCGTTGCTGCATGTCACCCATTGTTGTTATTGTTGAAAAATATGTGGTTCAGATATGTGATCTACCACTGACCTACAGCTGCTCCTGAACTCTTGCTGTTTGGTGGAAACATGTTTCAAAGTACAAAATGTGGTTCTGAAATGTTTTTGTCAGGTTTTCCCCAAGAAGCTGGTTTCTTTCTCAATGTGGATCGACCACACTCGTTGGGCTCGGAACACCTGGGCCATGGCAGCCATTTTCATCCTGACCATGGCAGACCTCATAGACATGGTGAGTGATTTAAAATCGTCAGGATCAGTGAGAGGATTTTATGTTTMAGTTTACTCAGCATCACAGTTCAGCAGCTAATCTACTTATCTAAATTTTCACTCTGTAAAACTCTGCTGTAGTATCAATGATAAAAAAACAATGGATAATTATTTCGTTCTTTCTTTCTAACATGTAGCTGAGTTGTCTGCCTGGAGTCCCYGAGTCAAACGGCCCCACACAGGCTCCCTCCTCTTCCTCGCGGTCCAGCCTCGAAGGTTGCCTGAACAACCCCAAGTATTACAGCTACATAGCGGTGTTAGCCCTCATGGCCACCACCATGCTGGTTCAAGTCAGTCACATGGTGAAGCTCACGCTGATGCTCCTCATCACGGTGACGACCGGTATCGTCAACATCTACAGCTGGAGGGACATCTTCGACCGCTACGACAAGGCCCGCTTCCAAGATTACAGGTAGATCTCCTGAAGGTCCGACACAACTCAGCAGAACTATTTATTATAAAAACTAATCTGAGCAACTTGTACGGAACACCAAAATGTTCATAACTGAGCATCAGAACGAGGCAGAAACGAGATTTACATCCCAAATTATAGATTATTTATTCCGGTGTGTATAAGTACAAGTCATTAGTTCATTTAAYCAATAAATCAGTTCCTTATAATTAATAAAAGTAGGATTAACTACTGATGAACTGGATGATGGCATGCTGTGTTTTAATGACTCTGAACAGATGATCAGCTAAGTAAAGCATCTTAATTAAGAAAAACAGATAAAATAATGTAAATAGTTATTTACCATATGCGTGTGGTGCCGTTCATTCAGTCTGATGAACGTGATTGATTGGTTTATTTTAAACAAGGTGAGAATAAAAYCAGTTGCTTTTATCCAAAAAAGGGGCGGAGCCTATGCACACTTGAATGTGTTGATCCATTCAAGAAAGGGGTCTCTGCAGTCACAAAGTAGGAGTTTCTTCTTTTGTAGGAGGAGTTGGCCCYAGACGTGATTGGTCAGATTGACGGTGGGGTTTGAAGAAGCTGGGGGCAGCGGGGAGTAGCTTGGTCGAGTCGGGCAGGAAGCGCCTATGTTTTTTTTAAGATTAATTTTAGTCATAACTTGAGAAAGGAAGGTGCTAGCTGCARGAAATTTGAACGCCGTACATATGGAGGGACGTGTAATAATTTGGCTCAGTCAAAACATCCCAAACCAGCCCATTAAAAGATTGCTAAAAATAAGTATGAATAAATATGAATATGAATAATAGCCATAACTTGAGACAGCAAGAAGCATGCCGCATAAAATTTTAAGTCAAAATATGTTTACATGTTCACAATTTTTGAGTCATTGTTCTGTTTTAAACTGCACATAGACCGTCAATAAATCATATTTATTTGCCATGATTACTTCCTCTTTTAAGTTGCCCCACAAGACATGTCAATCCGACCAATCACGGTTAGGGAAAACTCCGCCCACACACCAACTCCGCCAATCACGATTAGGGTKAACTACGCTCACACCAAGACCTCCGCCAATCACGGGTGTGCCATCTTTGCCCACAGGACGACATGAACTGCAGAGACCCCTACTTGATCCACTCTGCAGCCACACTCTGAGAAATAAATCAGAATAATCAGTGAAACGCTGTCAGTAAACTGCTGGATAAACTGTGAACTGATCAATGTTTTTTTTTTCTTTTTTACAGCGTGTTCATGGTTCCTTCCAAGTTCACAATGACATGTATGATCTTCGTTATGATGGTCAGCTTCTATTATTTCTCCAGACATGTAAGTTCACACATACCTGAGGGTTATAGAAAGGTACTGTGGTATTTTACTGACAGGGACAGAGAACCAACAACCTCTGAATTTTTATAAGGAACTAAAACAACCATCAGTTGTAATGTTCCACATATCAGGACAAAGTAATGGWTATAAAGGTTTTAAATGTAACACAACAGAAAAAATTAACAAAATAACAGACTTTACACTCAGTTTCTGTTGGTAGGTTCAAACATGACAGATTCTTTTATTTGTAATTAAAATAAAAACAATGTCAAACAACCAAATTAAAAACATTAACTGCAGTTTAACGACTAAGTTTCCACTCTGCATTGTTAATATTTGTCTCCATCTGAAGGTGGAGAAACTTGCTCGAACCCTTTTCCTATGGAAGATTGAGGTCCATGAGCAGAAGGAGAAGGTAAATGAGATGCGGCGCTGGAACGAAGCTCTGGTGACCAACATGTTGCCTGAACACGTGGCTCGACACTTTCTGGGCTCCAAGAAAAGAGACGAGGTAAGACTGCGAGAAACGATGCGTGCATCGTTCGTTCTTTGGGGGTTTTTTTTTGTTTTGTTTGTTTCAGAATGAAATTGCAAAAAGAAAACAACCGTGTTTTTTTTCATTTCTAAAACCTAAATTTAAAAATGTAAAACTGATCTAATAAAACAATCCACAGTGTTTGATAAAATATGTGGAAGTTTTAATATGTAGCGATACC